GTAGCTGAGTTATAGTCCAGCCAGACGCCTTGTTGATCGCTCCAGAGGACGGCATCAATGGCAGATCTGCGCCGTTCTACCGCCGCCTGGTACCGGGCAGCAGCGTCGCCGAGTCCTGTTCATGTACGGGTGAAAATCAAACTGTTTCCCAACTAACAAGAAATCTGACTCACTGGAATTACTGACCGAATCTCTCGATCACAGTAAAGTCTGCACTGGGTCGAAGTTCGTCGGAAGTTGGTACCGCCCCCGTCCTGGTTAAGAGAAGGTACCGTCATCCGACAAACTTTGACGTGTCTACTGAGCACCTAGGTCAGATTGCTGATGAAAATTGATCAGCAATCAATCAGTTAAAAAATCCGGTTGAATTTCTTTAAAGTTTCATGCTAAACTTTCTTCATCTTCACTTTTATCTTGCTCAAATTCCTCTGACTTCAAGCTAATATACATGTATGTGTGATAAACCTGTTAATACTGGAGCGGTCTGTCTAAAGAGACACAAATGAAATAGTCGACGGCAGCTAGCAATTAACGAGAATACTGTATGAAAAAGGTCTGTGTAATACAATACAAAACATGTTATCTAGCGTCTGTATTCGCTGTTACAAACNGGTTTGGCTGCTGGAATGTGCGAATGTGCGAAAAAATGACTCCAGGACTGTCTACAGGGAACACTCGCCTAATGCCCAACATTCGCGGTGTATCAGGACAGCGCGACTGGCCAAGCCACAACCAGTCGGCATTAGCGCAGTCCCTGCAATTAGTAACAGTTGCACATCAATGAACACTTGCATCACAGCCCGCATTTCCTGTATCAATCATCCGCAACTGGTCATAATATAAAACAGCCACATCACCAGTTACCGCTTATGTCTACTACTAGAAAGACAACAGAACAGGTACGGTTAAATTATAAGGGCGCGTCACACCCATAAAACGTGTTTTCGAGCGTGCTTCTTCTTTAGCCTGACTATTATCACGCTCCTGGCGCCGAAGTTGCCGGGGTGGGGGTCATTAACCTCCGGCCGAAAGCATACCGGCTATACCGGCTCATACTACAAGACGCGCTTTAAATACAACTAGCAAATCATACAATTATCCGATCTATGTGCGGTTTACCAACCCCAGATCACATCCGACCACGAGGCAGAACACATTGATGGGTTGCTAAAAATATTGGCAACGTTTACAGAGAGCTGCTCCACTAACACTATGGAGCGACCAGCATGCTCGTTGCTAGGACGACCGGCCAGTTGCTACGTGACTAAATACACGCCGCCACTAGGTCGCCACACCCGACCAGTTTGAAATCGATAGGTATTTACATTTCGTAATGTTGACCTCTAACCACCCCACATTTCCGTCCCCATCAGCCTCACCGCGACTTACTACCGGTGACATAAACGGGCGACAACATTTCAACGACGTGGGGATGTTTCGAAAATAACCATTTACTCCAATATCAAAACAGCTACGGTAAAAATAAAAAGACGTGCATCATCCCGGACATAATACCACACCACATGCGAAATTACACAGAAATGCGACGTACGGAAGAATGCGTTTTGGCTGCGAACATCTTCCAAAAAACTTGGCATCTCTTAAGCACGGGCAAAAACATCTGGAACCACTTATCAAAACCACCCCGTATCTGCATGAAGTTCCACCCCCCACTGCTATTCCAAACAACGCGTTTTTCTGGACCATTCCAATTCGCCTCGCAATTGTAGGGGTGCGTCTGCAATATTACATTGACCGCGAAAGCAGCAACGGCAAAAATACACATTCGTGCATCAACACGGGCATGCCCGCAGACGGCGTATAAAATTGCGTGCCGATTACACAAAGAGAACCCAGTGTTTTGACTGCGAACATGAAAAATCAGCCGTTCACAAAACTCCGTCCGGAGGTCCTGAAATCCTTCACGGAGTAAAAATAAACGCATGTTCTAGCTACTAACCTTGACTTTCCGATGGAGGCTTGATATTGGTTCAAAACGTGACCGCTAACTGTAACAGTTCTGTTGCTCATCCAGAAGTTATACTCCATTTCTAACAGCGGCATCATGGTCCGAACGAACCCCGTGTCGTCTGGAAAAAATGCACATGGAATAGTAAAGTTCTTTTTTTAGAGCCACGCATCTTTTTATAAAAGCTGACGTTTTGACGTTCGTCTGTATCCTGATGTTACTGGTTCACTGTGCACTGAAGTTGTATCTGTATCAGTATAGCCGGTATAACCGCCCTTCGGCGTAACACACCAGCTTAAAGCTAGGTGTTACTGGTCCACTGTGAACTGAAGCTAGGTGTTACTGGTTCACTGTGAACTGAAGCTAGGTGTTACTGGTTCACTGTGAACTGAAGCTAGGTGTTACTGGTTCACTGTGAACTGGAGCTAGGTGACTGGTTCGCTGTGCTTTAAAGGTAGTTACTAATGCGGTCCCAAACCATGTTTCAGGCAGTGCAATGCGGCGTTTATCCACAAAGAGAGGAAACATGTCTTACTTGTCTGGTCCAGATAGTCCCGCATGGCTAAGGTAAAGACCGGGGGCTGACTTCGTCGGGTGTAGTATACACGGCCTCCATTCGGAATGAAACCAAACCTAAGGAATTAAAAACAGAAGTACTTTTAAGAAACTGGCCGGGGCCAAGATGGGAATAGCTGGTTGGGTGACGTGAGTGTGATGACGATGTGTGACTCAAGTAATTAGTCACCATTGTGATTTGAATTGGACTAATGCTAAAAAATACTGCACAATTGTAATGTATCATGAGCTCTTTTTCATGGAGAAAAGATATTTGTAATAGATTATTAGCGGTTACGTGTGGTAAACAATTGCGTTGTTTCATTCGACCTGTCCTTTTCTCTTGACATCTGCTTGGTTTCCATCCATATGGTCATATTGATTCGATTATATGGATGATATTCACGCGCGCATAAATTTTCGTCCGTTTAAAAAAATTCGACTACACTGTAAATCATACAAAGCAGCCGCAAAATAAGCAAATTTATGCCCTAAATTGCCGAAATATATTGGAAAACGATAATAATGTCGTAGAATGCCAAAATTAATTCCAAAGGAAAAGAAGAAAATGTGAAGAAATGAAAATTAAGACTATTATTCGCCATACCATACTCCTGTGTGTTAAGTCATTCGTTTAACCTTCATGACCACGTAGATTTCACATATACCAATGAAGGCTCTTTTTTAGCCAAACTTTTTTATTCGCATGCTTGCATCAGTTTTGGGGTTCCCAGAGGATGTCATATGATCATATATGTAATCAAATCAACATGGCCTAATGTATCCGTGTAGTATGATGATGATGATAGCGAGACTAGCATGAAGTGTGTGAGATGACGACTCTCCGCTAACCTTTCCACCATCTCAGCGAAGTTGGACAGCATCCCTTTTGTACTTTCTGTCATTTCCGACAAGAGGAGCCCCCGGATGATCCAGTAGGTGTCCCTTTGTACAAATTGAAACGTTTGTCCGTGAGAAAGTTTGTGCTGTAGCATTAAAATATGCTAAAAGCTGTTTTGTTTGAGCCTATTGCAACAAAAACGAACAAATTGGAATTCCGCGACATATTCCTTTATTAGAAACTTTTATTGCATGTTTATTCCCCGGAGGGATAAATGCATGGATGTACAAAGTACAATGTACTAGAGAGTACTACAACAATAGTAATAAAGAAAGCTAACATTAGGTCTAAGGTATACAATGCTAAAAATAAAATAAAAAGAAATACATATATAAGTGGTATTGATCTAAGTTCTAATGGCTTCTTCTCTCTTTTTGAAACATTTTGAAATATACTTACATACTTCATTGATGACGTCTATATTTGTACATGATATAATATATTTAAAAGTGTCTTCCTTTGATAATGTTTTACATTTTTTGTCGAGCTTAATTGAACTGAACAGTGATTTACGTTCGTTATCATATAATTTAGAGTCAAGCATAAAATGCGATTCATCTTCAATACAAGAATTGTTACAGAATTTGCACAGTCTATCTTGTAACGGTGTACGGCTATGCCTGCCAGATTCTATGTGTAGAGGATGGTCGCTAATACGGAGTTTACACATGGCTCTACGACGGGCGTTTTACACAGATTCCTCATTGAGTATGGAAGTAAAGCAATTTTGAACTGTTATTACGAAGAGAATTTCAACTGATCAACTCTAGACTCTCTCAGTGAATGGGCTTTTGTGACGTCAAGTTATACAGATGGCTTTCTTCAATCTATGGTCTGCTGCTCACGTGACGGAAGCGGTGAATTGTTCCTTGACAAAGGCTGGAGCTCTTAAAAGAGCTTTGTTAAAGGAACAATCCACCGCTTCCGTCACGTGAGCAGCAGACAAAGGGTCTCCAATTTTAGAAATACTACGAACTCTATCTGACATGGTAGTATTTTGGGTCTATTTTTATGATTTTGTTTTGTTTTGTCGCCATGGACACATTTTGACCGCCAAATTGAATGCTAAAGTTTGCCCTTTTTTACGCTCCAGCCTAGCCCCCAGTGGGGGTGTGCACTTTATTTGGAAGGGCTACTCCGCCGCTTGGCCAATGAGGCTCACTTGTCATTTTATGAACTGAGAGCTTCCCTTTCCTACATAAAAAAATGAACTGCCAAAAGAAACGAAGCTGTCTGTTTTGAGCCACAAAGTAGAGCATGGTTTAGTTTCTAAGTACTTTAGAGCGGCCTGGCGGTTCGGGTGACGTCGGCACTGCATAAGCCGAGCTTGCTTGTTCAAACCATACTCAGCCCGGCAGTCAGCCGTCAGATCTTCTTCTCGGGTCACCATTCACTGCTACACTCTTCCCCTCCAATACTCCGCGCATGCCCTTCCATTGGGGGTCAGGGATTCCAGGTCCTCCTTGGTGCAGCCGTCAAATGCGGCGTTGTGTCTTTCTGTTCTTTCATAATTTTCTCAAACAACTCATTTTTACCAAACAAAAACGCGTCTCTACCTGTGTGCTGTCTCATTCTTATGAGTTTTTATCGACCGCAACACGTTTGTAACTACTAGTGTAAAATTGTACCAGTATGTGGACACGACGAGAACTACTAGTAATTTTCCCTGTAATTTTATTTATATAGAAAATACAATACTTACAAACTTCAAGCTATCAAACAGCAGAATTTTATATAATCTTACGGCAACGGCCAACAGTAATCTTTTACGATTTACAGCATATAGCAAATAGTGGCAGCTTACATATAAACAAGAGTTCCACGATCTCATACCTTCGCCAAATGATGTTAACCCTTGCGCGAGACGAATTATACAATTTTATTCATTGATTTTGTAAATAAGAGCCTCATTTGCATGGATTATATCAGTTGATCATATTCTCCACCCAATGACAGCCTTATCTTAACAAAAAGGCTATTATAGCACTTCCTCATAAATTATGAGGCTTATATAAATTACTTCACTTATATATCTTGGAAGTTCCATCAATAGCAATGGTGACATGGACAAAGAACTTGACTGCAGAGTTGGTAAGGCTTCAGCAGCATTTAACCAGCTGGGCAAACTCTGGAGAAACAAGAAACTGTCCCTCAAGACCAAGATGCGCTTTTACAACAGCAACGTCCTGTCAACACTTTTGTATGGCTGCGAAACCTGACACCTGAAACTAAGTCAAGAAATGAGACTTGATGCCTTTGACAGCAAGTGTCTAAGGAACTAGCAGAAGACAAAATGGCGGATGTTGACACGGAAAAGTTTGCTTCTCAGCAGGTTGGACGACCTTCTGAAAGTCTTAAATGAAACACGTTCAGTTTGTCAGCTTGAGAGTGTACAAATGTACTTTGCTTACTCGGAAATGTGTTACACTGTTTTAAACTTGCTTTGTAACTCGTGGCCGTTATAACTTCAAGTCCTTGGGAATTCGACGTGGAGCTCTAAGTTAGACTATAGTATATGTGAGCATATGTGTTAAGACATTGGAACGGTAATATTCTGTAAGCTATGACAGAAGACGTGAGGACCAATGTACGAGAGAAGCTGGAAGGAGACGTGTTGGCGGCGGACCTGCAGCTGAGCCTGTTCGCGGCGGCGCTGCTGAGTTACCGACACGACACCGTACTCCGCCCCTTCCCGGTTCGCACGGCATAACGACGAGAAGGACTTCCCCGCACTGAAATCAGTGTGGAGAAGACTGTCAGGAGTAAAGGAGCTGCTTCAGGACAGTCGGGTAACCTCTGACCCCCAGACATTACAGCTGGTCCACTGGGACCTGGAGACTAGAAACTTCCACCTGCGATCCTGTGAACCCGCCGAGTACAAAGAAGTGCAGAGGTTAACAGGTTACACCAGCACCAACATTCCGCCCCCCTCCCACATGTTCGAAGTTATCCACAGTGAGAGCACAGACGCCAGGTTTGAGGAGACACGACAAGACAGAAGTCTGTTGTACGCCTTCCACGGGAGCAGGCTGGACAACTTCCACTCCATACTGCACAATGGGCTACATGCACACCTCAACAAGAATTCCTTATTTGGAGAGGGAACCTACCTATCAGGTGACCTTGGGGTGTCAATCATCTACAGTCACAAAGGTCAGGGGTGGGACAGGAGCATGCTGGGAGAAACCATGAGCTGTGTGGCTGTGTGTGAGGTCATCATGGACCCAAAGTATGTCAAGAGCAAGGTGGAAGAGAATGGGAGAGCCAAGAACAAAGACAAACATGAAGTACCAGAGAAGTACTACATCGTGAGCAACAATGAACTGTTGAGAGTCAAGTATGTGCTTGTCTATGCTGAAAGGAAAGCAAGGCCAAGGGTCCAGGCACCATCTTTCTTCCAGCGCCATAAGTTCTTCATCCTAATGACATTATATGTCATTGTCCTTGCTGTGATCGGGGCTGCCAATTCTCCCAACCTGCAGTACTACATCAGGAAGTTTTTCAGATGACACATGGCTAGGGAGAATTTAGACTTGATAGTTAAAATGGGGGACTTGTCAAAAACAGATGAGGTACTAAGTAGCCTCAAAAAAGTACTGAAAGCAGACCAAAATTCTCTTATTCCAGTAAACATGCAAATCATCTGTTGTTGACAGACAGCCAATGTTTAAAATGTATGTTCATAATTAGTTAGCATGAAAATAAAGCCTAACTTTCCATGTGGCACAGAATTTATGATATGGTACATAGGACTGACAAGAGGACTTGAAAATTCTTTAAATCAAGTTAGTTAAGCGCTTGCAACAAAATGCAAGACCAACATGTTTTGGCCCAATAATGTTTATTACATGTTTTTGAGATCATAGAATGAAATGATATGAATGGAAATGACTATTGAAATAATTATAGCAAAATGTAGTATACACAAACTTTCAGCTGTGATAATGCATTTTTCAAATCTTATGCTTTGTTTAAATGTAACTATGAAGATTCAATATGCTGAAAAAATACTAAATGGCTAAGGAAGTGTCTAAGGAAAATCCTGGGCATTAGATGGGATGACTTTATCTCGAATAATAACATCAGACTTCAAACTAAGCAACAACCAGTGTCCTCCATCATCTGCAAACGCCGGCTCAGCTGCTTAGGACACACTGTCAGACTCCCACCTGTCAGACTAGCCAACCAAGTCCTACAGTGGTGCCCAGAAGGACGGAGAAGGAGGGGGCGCCCAAAGATGAACTGGCGACAGACAGTGGAGAGGGACCTTCAGGCAGTCAGCATGAGCTGGAAGGAAGCCTTGAGGCTGGCTGCTGACAGAGGAAGCTGGGATGCTTTGACTGCCTCATGCGTCACGAGACGCGGGAGCCCCTAAGTCTAAGTAAGTCATAAATTATGCAAATGAGGTCATGATTTGAATTAATTATGTTTATTGATGTTCACCTTCACGTAACTTCCAAATGTGGCAAGTATGAAATTCCCAGCAGTTACAACTATGAAATTATAAAATTTTCCATTAATTATGCAAATCAGGTCCTCATTCACATAATCTATATCCTCAGATGTTTTTCTCGTTCTCAAGTAGATGTCACAAGTGCTTTATAGTTCTATTATCAAACAAAGCAGATTTATAGAATTTCCTCATTAATCATGCAAATAAGCTCCTGATTTGCATAATTGGCATCTGATTATGTCAAGCATCACTTCAACTACCTACATACCAAAAATCACGACAATCCGTCAACCGGTTTTTGAGTTATCCTCCTTCAAATTTTTCAACAAATGCTCCTGCAGTTCCAGAATAAGCCGCTAAGAGACCCAAACTCATGTCACTTCTTTCCTATCCCAAGAGCTATCTGCCATCCAAAATTCGTGACCCCAGCATGTCCAGATCACGAGATATCAAAACCGGAAGTTCTGCTGCAGTACCTTGAAAAGCCGCCAGGGGGCCAAAATCTAATCATTTCTAGGTCTCATGAAGACCTACCCACCTACCAAGTTTCATTCTAATCCATCCACTGCTTCTTGAGTTATCTTGCCTAACCCCCCCCCC